TTTTTTAATCTGTATGATGAGGGAGGTGTTTGTTCTTTGTACAAACTGCTGATTCCTCACACTGTTTCTGTCTCTGTCATAACACTGGGGCCTGGTGCATCGGTTCCCACACCTCCCTGAACGTTTGAACATCTCCTTCACAGCTCTGTTCACGACAAGTTCAAACACAGCTCTGGCTCCGAGGCTGAAGATCGGATCATACATTCCTCCCACTCACCATCAGAGAGAAAGAGACAGAAAGAGGTTATTGATCCGGAGAGAAATCCAGGTTTTGCTGCAACGTTCCCACAGAGCGTCTCAGGCAAAGGTCTCAGGTCAGGACAGTTCAGGGAGGTTTCAGCAGAGCCTGTGGAAGAGCCAAACGTGTCCCTCCCTCCTCTGTGTCCTGAAGCATCACAGCAGCCTCCAGGGGGCGCCAGGTGAACACAACTACCAAGGTCTCGAACTTATATTAGCCTCGGGACTCAGGTAAAAAACTGACCTCCAACTCAAGAAAGTGCAATGGAACGTCCAATCAAATCGGGCTTCCAAAACACAAACTCGGGGTAGTTGGGTGCAGACCGAGTCAGTTGGACATTAAACTTTCTCGGGCATCCATATTTTTCCCGACTGTTGCAATGGAACACATTTACAATGGATGTCAGGAGAAATTAATCAGAATGATCAACTACCGACAATCTCTCCGCTCTAGTGTTTCAGTTGGTGGCGAAACAGTCCATTCCCTCAAAGTTTTTCTTCTGGAAGGTCACATTTTCTGCCACATGTGGTGTAAAAAGCCTGTAGCATCTTAAATGTCCACATCTAGCTTCTTAGATAGCTTCTTGCACAGTCTCCAGGGACACGGGGAAAACAAACAGCTCATTTCACACAATCTAACCGTCCTTACTTGTGTCCTTTAAACTGGCACATGCTGCTCTTCTTAGTTGGTTAAACTAATCATATGATGTTGAAATACAGCTGAGATCTTAATCATAATAATCATACTAATGCATCAGTTTTAAACAGCACTTCTCTGGGCACTCAAAAATGCTTTAGAGAGCATTATTCATTCAGTCCATATCCGGTGGTGGTAAACTACTGTTGTAACCACACAGGGCGGGCACTAGCCCATTAGCCGGCTGCTAATGCACTGTTTTCTCTTTTCAGTGGTGCTAAGTAAAGTTGAAAGACTCGTGAACAAGATATAACAAAGTGAACACGCACAGAGCGTCATAATAATAATATTACATGATATTAATGGAGCGTTTTGAAGTGGGGGGTTGGTTTGGCTTGTTAACATCTGGGAGGGTCCAGGCTCGTACAGGAAGGTGTTGGTGTGTTGGTGGTGTTGTTGGTGTGTTGGTGGGTGTTGGTGGGTGTTGGTGGGTGTTGGTGTGTTGGTGTGTTTGGTGGGTGTTGGTGTGTTGGTGGGTGTTGGTGTGTGGTGGTGGGTGTTGGTGTGTTGGTGGTTTGTGGGTTGGTGTGTGGTGGGTGTTGGTGTGTTTGGTGGTTGTGGTGTTGGTGTGTTGGTGTTGTGGTGGGGTGTTGGTGTGTGTTGGTGGGTGTTTGGTGTGTTGTGTGTTGGTGTGTGGTGTGGTGGGTGTTGGTGTGTTGGTGGTGTGTGGTGGTTGGTGTGTTGGTGTGGTGTTGGTGTGTGTTGGTGTGTTGTGGTGTGTTGGTGGGTGTTGGTGGGTGTTGGTGTGGTGTGTGGGTGTTGGTGGGTGTGTTGGTGGGTGTTGGTGGGTGTTGGTGTGTGTTGGTGTGGTGTTGGTGGGTGTTGGTGTGGTGTGGTGTGGTGTGTTGGTGGGTGTTGGTGGGTGTTGGTGGTGTGTGTGGTGTGGTGTGTTGGTGGTGTTGGTGTGTTGGTGGTGTGGTGTGTTGGTGTTGGTGTGTTGGTGTGGTGGTGTGTTGGTGGGTGTTGGTGGGTGTTTGGTGGGTGTGTTGGTGTGTGTGTGGTGGGTGTTGGTGGGTGTTGGTGGTTTGGTGGTGTGTGGTGTGTTGGTGGTGTTGGTGTGGGTGGTGTTGGTGTGTTGGTGGGTGTGGTGGGTGTTTGGTGGGTGTTGGTGTGTTTGGTGTGTTGGTGGTGTTGTGGTGTGGTGTGTTGGTGGGTGTTGGGTGTTGGTGGGTGTTGGTGGTGTTGGTGGGGTTGGTGGGTTGTGGGTGGTTGGTGTGGTTGGTGGGTGTTGGTGTGTGGTGTGTTGGTGTGTTGGTGGTGTTGGTGTGTGGTGGGTTGTGGTGTTGGTGTGGTTGGTGGGTGTTGGTGTGTGTGGGTTTGGTGTGTTGGTGGGTGTTGGTGTGTTGTGTGTTGGTGGGTGTTGGTGTGTTGGTGTGTTGGTGGGTGTTGGTGTGTGGTGTGGTGGGTGTTGGTGGGTGTGTGGTGGGTGTTGGTGTGTTGGTGGGTGTTGGTGGGTGTTGGTGTGTTGGTGTGTTGGTGGGTGTTGGTGTGTTGGTGGGTGTTGGTGTGTTGGTGGGTGTTGGTGTGTTGGTGTGTTAGTGTTGTGGTGGTTGGGTGGTGTTGGTGGGTGTTGGTGGTGTGTGTGGTGTGTGGTGTGTGGGTGTTGGTGGGTGTTGGTGGGTGTTGGTGTGTTGGTGGGTGTTGGTGTGTTGGTGGGTGTTTGGGTGTGTGTGGTGTGGTTGTGGTGGGTGTTGGTGTGTTGGTGTGGTGTTTGGTGGTGTGTTGGTGTGTTGGTGGGTGTTGGTGTGTTGGTGTGTTGGTGGGTGTTGGTGTGTTAGTGGGTGTTGGTGGTGTTGGTGGGTGTGTGGTGTGTTGGTGGGTGTTGGTGTGTTGGTGTGTTGGTGGGTGTTGGTGTGGGTGTGTGTTGTGGGTGTTGGTGGGTGTTGGTGTGTTGGTGTGTTGTGTTGGTGGGTGTTGCACTCACACATTTCGGGTCAGTGTAAATTGCAGAGCGTGGGTGGGGGTCGGCCTGGTCGTGTAGATTGTCAGTCTGAGTTTTGTGTTACATTATGTTTAAGCAAATTCCAGTTTAGGTAGGTCGGCTAAAGAAAATATGGTGCCCCAGACACATGAGGCGTCCTCAGCGAGCGCCTTATCTGCCTCTGTGAGGCGCCGGGCCTGTAACCACAGCTCCAATAGTAGGGACAGACTGATGGAAGCAAAGCTGCCAATCTGCGCCATCGGCTCAGTTTTCACTCTCAAAACCCTGCCCAGTTTAGGGTGATCAGATTTTCAAAATCAAAAACTGGGACACTCCTGATTTGTGGCGGTTGGTAATAATTAAATTGTGAAACGAGTGTGTAATTAAGGAAAATTGTTCTGCACTTGGGCCATTCATTATTAACATGTGAGTCAGTATAGTCACATTTTCTTTGTGTTTTGGTCGTTGTTAAGCAGCTTTTCTGTATTTTATTTAAATAAATTACAATTTATGCCTCTTTACTGTTGGCAGGGATCAAATTTGTCAAAAATAGGGACATTTCTTTTATAAAACTGGGAGAAATCTGCATTTTTTATAAATCTGCTGGGACAGGGGACACAGGCTCAAAACTAGGACTGTATTGGGTCAACAGGGACCACCTGTCAGAATAAAGTTTTTGTTTGTTTTGGACCCTGCCTGGACGAGAGATTACACTAAACTATCCCTCCTGTTCTCATGACAGCCGTACGTCTCTGAGTCTGTAGAGGTGTGTACAGTGAAAGTGACAGCTCTGATTAAACTGGGTCATGCTGTGAGTTCATGTCCGGACATGACAGAGCACTTTCGGTTCTCATCACCACAAACACTGAGCAAACTTCTGAGGAAATCAGTGTTGGTGGGATTTTATTCAAATGTTTGTCAAATGTGCAGTGTGCAACTTCTGCTGAAGCTGAGGCAACACTGCTAAACTAAACGCTCACTTTTTATGTCAAGACTGTTTGCTTCTGTATGTTTATGGCACAGTGGTTGAGCATTTTTGCCTCACAACTGGAGGCAAAGTCTTTTAGTATGGAAGGCTTTGTACTTTTGTGTGCCTCAGTTTTTTTCCCACTTTTAGTATGGAGTTTGCATGTCTGGGTGGGTTTTCCTCCAAGCATCAACCCAAAACATGCACAATAGGAATCCTCCAGCTAAGGTAGATCTACACGCAGACTAGAGCCCTGCTTTCTAAGTCAGTTCCTCCAAAGTCAAGTCCTTCCAGTTCAAAACCAGAGTCCTGCCTCAGCTCAAATTCACGGTACAGGCTCCAGAGGCAGCGAGCAGCACCTCCACGATCACTAACTACCAAATAACTTTCTCTGTATGGAAATGGGTCATCTGCATTTGACCCATCCTTAAATGTCTCTGGGCAGTGGTCAGGAGCAGTGGGACCGAAACAAGATCGAATCCAAACACGGTCGAGTCCGACATGAGACCAAGGCCGTAAAAAGGCGGTCTCAAGTACTACGGCACTACTTTCTACATTTTATAAACACACAGAAGACGTCAAATATATGAAGTTAGGTAAATGGAATTATGTACGATGTTATATTATACAGAAAAGAAAAAGTGTAATAAATCAACAAAATCAAATCCTCAGAGGAGCCACTCTTTGCTTTGTTGTAAACCCTGGACTTTCTCTCACTGAGCTTCATGATGAAGTCTCCTGAAACGGTCAAGAAATGCCAAAAGTGCCAAAACCAGGGTTCAAACCAAAAAGTAAAGGCGATTTTAAAAAAATATTTAGAGTTTTGGTTTGTTACATTCTTCATGAGTCATTCATAGTTTTTGATTCTTGAGTCGTCCAGGTAGAATCCACAGCAAAAGGAGAAATTCAGTTTGTCAAGAAGGCAAAGTTTATTTGGTCAAATACGTTTCACAGCTCATCCAAACTGCTTCTTCAGTTCTTCAATTCCAATAAACTTTGTCCAGTTGACAAATTTAATTTCTCCTTTTGCCAGTAACAGTGGAAATAAAGAAGAAAATAAAATGAAAAAGTGTTGAAACTTTTGTCTGGCCGTGTGGTTTATCTGGAGGATTTGATCTATTTTCACAATGATTCTTTCACTGGATTATTTTAGTATCTCTGTTCCAAAAGTGACTCACCCAGCCCTCAAAGTGCCTGCTCTCGCTGTGGAGGATGTCCTCGAACTGGATGATGCAGTTGGCCACAAAGTCGTCGTATCCGATGGGCGCGTCGTTAAACACCGCCAGCTCCAGGCTCCGCCCCCCGTGCACCTCCGCCGTGAACTCCTCGTTCCAGGTCGGGCTGCTGGTCTTCTGCCTGGTGCTGGTCTGGCCCACGCGGGACTCGTCCACGTTGAGGGCCATGTACGTGTCCAGCAGGGGGCTCTGTTTGGGCCCCACGGCGTGACGCATGGACCAGGCCGTGGGTTTGAGCTCCACGGCCTCACAGATCTTTATCTTCAGCTGTCCACTGAAGAGCACCATGGCCTCGGAGATGAGCTGGGACCACAGAGAAAGAACAAGGGAGGAAAACATTTACAAACGAGTTTCATCGAGCCGTGTAAATGTAATTATTACTGTATTTTTCGGACTATAAGTCACACTTTTTTCATGTTTTTTTCATGGTCTGCACTTTGCCCCGTGGAGCGTGGACTTCTGCGCCGGTCCTTTTGCCCACGGTCACTTGACGGTTTTATGCGGGTGCATCTCCATGCCCATCCTGACACTTAGTCCTGGTTCAGTTCTGTTTTAGTCCTGGTTTAGTTCTTGTTCAGTTCTGGTTTAGACCTGGTTTAGTTCTGTTTTAGTCCTAGTTTAGACCTAATATAGTCCTGGTTCAGTCCTGGTTTAGTCCTGGTTCAGTCCTGTTTCAGTCGTGGTTCAGTCCTGGTTTAGTTCTGTTTTAGTCCTAGTTTAGACCTAATATAGTCCTTGTTCAGTCCTGCTTTAGTCCTGGTTCAGTTCTGGTTTAGTCCTGGTTCAGTCCTGGTTCAGTCCTTGTTCAGTCCTTGTTTAGACCTGGTTTAGTCCTTGTTTAGTCCTTGTTTAGACCTGGTTCAGTCCTTGTTTAGTCCTTGTTTAGACCTGGTTCAGTCCTTGTTTAGTCCTTGTTTAGACCTGGTTCATTTCTGGTTTATTTATTTTATTCTCAGCCAAATATACCATGCACGAAAAGCATTTCTTGAATTACAAACTAAATTTTCTGATTTTTGACACATAATCGGGAAAGTCAGCAGTAAATTCCATACATGCACATCATGAACAACCTGTTTTGTTTTTTTTTGTCTACAAAATGACTGATACTATCTTCATCATTTGGACACAAAAAAGTAAATAGTACCGAATAAGACTAAAATGAACAAACATAATATTAACACAGCCAAAATATATTATATAAATGAACAGAACTAAATTAATAAACTAAACAAGTAAATAGCTCCTACACTTGTAATTTTGCGCAATTTAAGACCTTTAAATGGCTATATGCTACAGCAAATGTAAAGATCCAGTGCAACCTGCAGCCACAAAACCCTGGCAGAAGATCATCTACTCACTTGTGGTTAGTTTGAAAACATCAGGTTTGCTTCTGCAGCTTCATCCCGAGCTTCTGTCCTCCAATCTCCAGGAAACCTACTGATCCATGTCAGTCCAAGTCGATCAAAAAAATGAAGAAGTGCCAGTTTTAAGAGCCAAAAGTGGTTATTACAATGCAGATATGCAGCTGTCACGCCGCGTTAAATCCTCGTGGAATTCGGACACAAACAGACACGTGAAAAGGTAAAAGAACGAGCTAAAATATGAGGTTTGGAGGAGCTGAGTGTTCCGGGTAAATGTTTCCATCCCCTGTTGCTCTGGGACCCTCCTGCTGCGCGCTCCTCTCCGCGGTGCGTACTGATGTTGTGACGGGGATCGCTGCGCTCCGGATGCGGCTGTGGAGGCTCTGCAGCGCGGCGTGGAGGAGGTGACGGTCCGCTCGATGAAGCCGGTTCAGAAATGTGGTCAGTGTAAAGCTCCGTTCGCGCCGCTGTCACTGTGCACCGTGCCCCGTACCCGTCCTGGCGCGCTCAGGCTGCGGGCACGTCCTCTCCGCCGCCTCCCCTCTTCCTCTCGACGCCGCTCCCCGCCGCTGGAGACCGAGGCGCGTCACAGGAGCCGGAGGATGCGGGTGGAAGAGACGCAGTAATAACGGGGAGGCACGGGGGGGGGAAGGCTGGGGTCTGGAGGAGGAGGAGGGAGTGTGGAGGAGGAGGAGGAGTGACCATTTAGATGCTGCTCAGGTGGAGATGCGCAAACCCCGTGACCAGTGATGCTGCGGGGGTCACACTGTAAACCCAAACATTATTCTGACTTAAAAAATAAAAAAAAGTGAACTTAAATTATGTTTTTCCATGAATCCATTCTTACTTGTCAACAATTCGTTTGTGTTTATATAAAGTATATCATGTTCTATACTGTGTGACTGAAAGAAACTGTTCTCTCCAGTTCCAAAACACAATCAAAACTGCATTTTCTACAGCTGTGTGTTGTAATTTGTAGCAATTTATCTCAACATACTACAAGTTAACAGAAGTTGAGTTATAGTTAAGTGCCATAGGTTACCAGAACTTGCAAACTCATTATGGCCATAGCAGTTTGTCAAAGCCTGATCCCCGTCAGATCTCAGAAGCTCAGCAGGTCCGGGTCTGGTTTGTACTTGGATAGGAGACCAGAGGGAAAATCAGGTGCCACAGGGGGTCGCCAGTCACATAAAGAAAAAAAAAAAGTGTAGTTTAATAATTTATTTATTTAATGAGACAGGGACAGTGCACAATCTACATGAACCTCAACAAAGAGACCTCAGAGATGCGTTGTACCAGAGTGTGGCACCAGTGCTCATTTCCACCTGTCGTCCCTGGGCAGATTAATTGATTGATTGTATTTAATTGACCTTTGCTCTTAACAGTTCTTCCTGGAGAATTATGTAGCATGTTTTGGGTTTCTTGCTGTGTCCTTAAGCAAGACACTTCACCCACATTGCCTAGTATAAAACTGGGGTGCGTGTGAGTGTTGGTGGTCAGAGAAGCCGATGACGCAGATTGGCAGCCTCACTTCTGTTAGTCTGCCCCAGGGCAGCTGTGGCTACAGTAGTAGTTTACCACCACCGAGTGTGGAGTGAATGAATAACGAACTGTAAAAATGAACTCTAAAATATCTTTGAGTGTCCAGCAGTGGCAGATCCTCCACCAGAAAAGCAAACCTACAGAAAAACTGTCAATCATTTGTGCTTCATTTGTGCTGCTTTAGTTTTGGAGATATTAACGATTCTTTTACAGATCAAATTAGGATCAGCAGCCTCCAGGAAGCTTCAAAATGCTCAAAAACGCACAAAATGGTGTCAACTGTTTGTGTTTCGTTTGTGCTGTTTAGTGCTTTGTGCTATTATGATTCTTTCTTTATTTATTTAATAATTTAAAACCAACGCAAAACAATAACAAAACTGACATAGGTCTAAAATAAAATTGAGGCTGATAATTATACAAACAAAGAAATCAACAGTGTTTGAAAATAAAATCAAAATTTTTCTGTAATATTGAGTGTTTTCATAAAATTATTGTTAGAGATACGGTTTAGTGTCTGAAGATAATTCCTAATGTCTAGAATATGGATTTTAAATAGGTCTGGAATTTGAGAATTTGGATTTATGGATGTGAAATTTTCTGAACAGAATGCAGTGCCCAGGTTTACTAAATATGACATTTTATATTGTTTATGATGGAAGTGGGTTATTATGTTTGAGCAGTCCAAATGAATTCTGATAGATGTTTTTTTTGTTTTTTTTACAGAATAAGTGTTTCAAGATTACACGATTATTATTATTATTATTATTATTATTATTATTATTATTATTATTATTTTTTTTTTACAATTCTTAAGTTTTTTGCGCTTTTATTTCTGGCCATCCAGCCCGTCAAAATGTTAAATGTTTAAAAAAAAAAAAAAAAAAAAAATTATACGACGCATTTGTATTTTGTTTGTGCTGTGACATGTTTCCGTTTGTGCGAGTATATTTCTAAAAAAATAAAAAATAAATAAATAAATAAATTAATTAATTAATTATTTTTGCGGTAATTATATGACGTAATTTCCGCTTAACTGATAGCAGCGGCTTTTAGTAAAAAACAACGCAAAAACTAGTGAAAATAAACGATGTCAGACTGCGGAAAATTATTTATCATCTTTAATAACTTACCAAGGCCAGTGCCAGTGGAAATGAGGCTTGAGAGACGTTTTTAAGGGGTTTATTATCTTGAAAACAAAAGTGTCCTTACCCGTTGTCGCCTGCGCTTTAGGGGGCGGTAGTGAGCGCCCTTCCGCACGTAAACACACGAAGCACCGGCGTCGCTGTTTGGTCCGCGGGAAACACCAGCGTGGGTCCAAAAACAGCACAAAAAAGTGATTTATTCCCTTTAAACTCACCCAGAGACGCTTTTCCCCGCGGCAACAAGAACAAAATACCCGGGACAACTTATCTCCACATGCACGCGGTTTGGGGACATTTTAGAGAAGATTTAGAAGCACTATTTGTGGCGGTGGAGCTAAATGCTAAAAGCTAAGAGCGTAGGGACGTAAACAGGTGTCGACGTAAAGCGCGTAAAGTTCACTAAATTCGCCGTTTTTTGGCACCTAAAGCATTAAATAAATTAAAAAAAAACATTAAATATCCCGGGTTTAGTCTGAGTTGTGGGGTTTGTGGTTAAATGGAGGTGTCTTCGGTGCCGTTTGGAAGCAAGAAGAGCGAAAAAAATGTGTCAATGGAGAAAACAGACGGAGACTCAGATGAAGAGGTACGACGATTTAACTGTTTAGCATCATTTATTTCATCAGATTTTTATTTTAAATGCCGATGAACTTCCCAGTTTTATTTATTTTTTACTCCTAAAAAAATTCAGATTATTATTTTTATTCTGAAATCATATATGTACATTTCCAAAGTGTTTAAAATCCAGTATATTAAAAATAAGAAAATCACCCTTTAAATATTCAGTACAAATATTTTCAAGCCCTCAAATTCAACAGCTGTAATTTTGTAGCTTGTTTAGTGGAAGGAAACTCTTTTATGTGACACATTTGGCATTTTTTCTGTTTTTATGATTAAAATATTTCAGTTTCACATAGGATTGTGAGTGAAAAAATGCATAGCACATTCAGATGGCTGATGTACAAATGTTTTTTAATTTTCAAAATAACGTTTTGACAAAAAAAAAGCCTTCATCAGATATTTTTCTTGCTTTGGACCACAGCAAAGGCTTTTTTTTTTTTTTTTTTTGCCGAAACGTTATTTTGAAAATTAAAAAACATTTGTACATCGGCCATCTGAGTGTGCTATGCATTTTTTCACTCTTATCTGGCTGCTCCTTGCATTTGCACCTCTACAAGAATTTTGGTGTGCGTTTTCTGCTTCTTTTGATTCACATAGGATTGTAACAATAATCAAAATATCGTGGTTTTGTATTGTCAAAATTCTCACAATAATATCGTGGACCATCACAATATATCGAATTACAAGTCTCTTTGCTTAAAGGTTGTATAGAGGATTTTTTAAGGGAAAAGAAATACAGCGACCGTCCTTTTTCATGTTGTGCATGCGTGACACCACCTTCCTCCTCCACAGCTCCCTCAGTAGAAACACCTCCTCCCACCTCTTTACTCTAGAAATCACGTTTGTCTACATCCACTGCATGTTCAGAAGTGACCTGTCTAGAAATAATTTAGCAACCGACGCGTCAGTTTTTAGACCCTTCGTCTGCTTTGTTCGTGCAATCGCTGGAAGGAATCTCCAAGAATCACCTCAGTTTGGCTTCGCTCCTTTTTCCCTTCTCTTCTTCTTTCAGCGACCTCAAAAACGAACTTTCTTTTGCGGCAAACTGGTCGTGGATTCTCATCCGCCATCGCAACAAACTTTGTACAAACTGCGAGGAAGCGACAGTTTAAAAAATCCTCTAAGAACCGCTGCATAAACCACATAATCCCCCAGTGAGTCAGTTATACTAGAAACGTAGGGAGTTTGATTAACAACCTAACAGCCAATAGAAAATGAGGGAACCTTGTTATCTATTGGCTGATGTTTATCTGGCCTCACTACGTCCACAGTTGATAGATTTTCATAATTTTTTTTTTGGTCATCACAGTTACAAGGCTGCTGCATCTCTGTCATGGTATTTTAAACTTTCATTGACAATTTGAAACAAAAAAAAATCCTCCATACAACCTTTAAGCAATAGCTTAAAAAAAACAGAGAACTACATAGACCATGATCCTTTGCTCCATTTCAGTGCAGACTACAAAAAGAAATAACAGTTTTAAGTAGGGATGGGCGATATATCGATATTTTAAATATATCGAGATAGTTTTTAAACTCGATATGAATTCTGACATATTGTATATATCGATATAATGCTAATATTCAATTTTGATTTCGCCGTGACTCGTAGTCGTTATGCTTTATATATTGTAAAGTTTAGCAATGTAAAGTTTATTTATGCAGAATATTTTAATGAATAATCTGCTGCAGTGTCACTTGTACAATAGTGTTTGGAAACGTTGGGTTTGATCTGCAGTGGATTGTGGGAATAAACCTCAGAGCTCCTTACTGCTGGATAGGAACATGGATCTATTGAAATAAGGAATATCCTGAGCTTCTTCTGCTAAATGAGCTCATGGTTCTGGTCTGGATAACAGAGTTAATGCAAAGATGAGCTTGTGTTGAGTTGTTTTATTTATGAATGAAACGAAGGAAATATGTATTATTTCTTTTATTTTACAGTTAAATTATTATTTATGTAATTAGGGTTTTTTGTAATCTTAAATGTTCCTATATGAACTGCCGACCTCTTACACTTCAATTAAAAAAGAGGACCTTGTGGAATTTGGCAGATTTGTTTTTGCAGTTTTCAGTTTTAGGGGGTTATTTTTTCTTGAACATATATCGAGATATATATCGTATATCGAGATATAGCTAAATATATCGAGATATATTTTTTGATCCATATCGCCCAGCCCTAGTTTTAAGTCTTAGTTCGTTGGATTTAGTCTTGTCAAGGCATTTTAAGAGGAAAAAGTAGTGTACTGACAGTTTGTTAGCCTCCACAAAATATCACAATAACTATCGTACCGAGAGATTTGGATCTAATCGTGAGCTTTCCCACGATATTGCAATAAATATCGTACCGTGAGGTTCATACCGTGACAATATATTGTGAGACTTGGATATCGTTACACGGTTTTATATGAACTTTGCACAAGAAGTGGTTTAACAAAGACTTTTAGTAGCACAGACATGATTTAACCTTTATTTTTTTATTGAACCTCATCGAATTGATTTGAAAAATATCGTATCGAACCAAGAGTGAATTATATCAAGATATGTATCGTATTGTGATCTGTGTATCGAGATCTGTATCATATCAGCAGGCAGAAAAACAGCATAGTGCTTTGTAACGATAGAAAAGTTTAAACAAAACACCAAAAGTAATAACAGTACTAAATCTTTTCCCTTGTGTGTTTTCAGACGTTGCCTCTAAACCAGTTCTATCCGTACATTCGCTGTGGACTCTGCTGCGGTTTCCTCATTGATGCCACGACCATCACAGAATGTCTACACACATGTGAGTAAAGATGGGACAATAAATAAGAACATGATAGGAAAACAGAAAAGTTGTTTCCACCAGAAAAAAATACTGAAAAAACTGGTGGAAGCAACTTTTTTTTTTCTGTTCTGGACTATGCCTTCCACTCTGTACAACCTGGAACTGGATCACCAATGCGAAGTATCTCACTCACCACTTAAAATATATAAAAAATGTGATGTTCCAAAACAGAGTACTAAAATCGATAAGTAAATAGATTACAAATTATTAACCAACTGATTCAGGGAGTTCTTGTTTTTGGAAGAGATGCTCCCAAACCATGAGACTAGTGAAAAACTTTTAAACCGATTCCATGAACGTTTTATAGAACAGTGTCGTCGTGGTTCTATTTATACAGTAGAAAGACAATTTCCTCAGACAATGAAGGTGCAGGTGGCCTCTTTTATACACTTACACATTGACATCACATTTCAACCCCACTGTCAAAATAACAACCTACTTCATTGTTGCGTAAATGTTAAAAATGTAGTTCAATTTCATCTCATCATAGTGACTCTGGTTTGTTGTTTGTTTGTTGTTTGTAGTTTGCAAAAGCTGCATAGTGAAGCACTTTTTCTACAGTAACAGATGTCCCACCTGCTCCATCGTCGTCCATCAAACACAACCACACTACAACATCAGGTAAACACAGCCACACTACAACATCAGGTAAACACAGCCACACTACAACATCAGGTAAACACAGCCACACTACAACATCAGGTAAACACAACACAACTCAAGAACATCAGGGGGGTGTTCCATCAAACTTGCTTAACAAATCCAGGCTTATCCTGAAATCCTGAGCTGAAACTTCTGAAACATCTCTAGTTTAACCCTCAACTCGTTCCATGACCGAAATAAACCTGAGTCTGACCAAAGCTAATTCAGGCCTGAAGTTTAAGCTGCACTTTGTGCTCGCAGTGACTCTGGGAAGGCCAGAGCAAAAGAGCAATGACATCATGGAAAATTATCTGGCTAAATGAGAAAGGAGCCACAGCGCACACCCACAGAGATTGATTTGGGTCACAGAACTTTTCCGTGAGGAAAAGAGATGAATCCTCTATCCCCTCCTGTTCGCTCCACCTCCTCTCCTGGTCGTTCTGTGGACAGAGAGGAGGCGGCTGGGGAGTGTGTTTAATATGCCTTGGGAATTAAGTTGCCTGACCTTTTCCCGATGTGCGGTCGTACGTGTGGAGCTTAAGTTCCGCTGTGAGTAAAAGTAAAGCTGCAAAAGAAATCTTCACACATAGAAGAAATGATAAAATCCACGCTGATGTGCAGTTTAACAAGGAGCGAGAGACGGGGAAATGAAGAGTGAGAGACAGACGTGATGAAGGAACGAACAGACAGAACGCACAGTCGTCCTCAGAGTCCAACCCAGTGTCTGTCTGTGTGGAAAAGCTGCTCTGCCCCTCAAAACAGACACATGTGCAACATCATTTGAATGAAATAATGTCATAAGCTTTTGTATGGTTTGTGCATTTGTGATGAGTCCAGTTCGTAGGAGTGTATGGACTGTAAAAGTCACTTTTTCATCTGTATGAGACAGAGACAGGTGTGTCTCTGACACAGGTGTTTGATGCACGGGCTGAAACGTTTGACTAAACTGTTTCTTCAGACGTTCTTGGAGACAGATCTAAAATAATCCTGTCAATTCGCCTCAGGTTTGTATTTCTGGGTGCTTGTTACTGCAGCAACTCGGGTCACCTCTGGTCAGTCATTTTGGTGGAACTGAGGCTTTGACAAGCCTGGATTGGCCAAATAAGCCAAGTTTTCACTTTAACTCGCTTCATGGAATACTCCCCTGGTAACAGCACTCAACAACATCAGGTAAACAGAATTCTAAATCTAACAAACTCAAGCACATAAGCACACAAGTCACAAATAAGAATACAAATGAACTTTTAAAGGTGCCACTGTGTAACTTTTCCGGCCACCTGCTTGTTTTCATAGAAATGTTATTGTTACTGGCCAAGGTCAGATCTGTGAGAAGGTGAGCTTGGTCACAGTAAGAATGCATGTTCTTCAAGGTGTTTTTGGACAATAAATGCTGGATAGAAACATTTGATAAGACAAAGCAATAACCATGGAGACCGGCATCTGAAGGAACCACAAAAGTTCCACAGTGCAGCTTTTGAAATATTAGTGTTGTTGAGTATCAGTGATTTTTTATTTTTTTTTTAATTTATTTTTATGTTTCATCCCCAGGCCGGACAGACAGCTGCAGGATATTGTTTACAAAATGGTCCCTTTTCTAGAAGAGTGTAAGTAGAAGTTTGTAAATTATAATATTAAATCTATATAAATCTTCATTATAATTAATTTAATATGATTTTTTTCCACAGTGGAGAGAGAGCAGATGTGTCAGTTTTACAAAGAAAGAGGTCTGGAGGTGCCAAAACAAGGTAAAGTCACATTTTAATTGTTATCTCTATTGGCAGAATGTTTATAAGATACCAAGCTGACACAGTGCACACAGTAGCAAACACGGCGAACACATTTTATGATTTGGCGCTTTGGTTCCAGTGCCAAGTGTTACATACCATTGCTGTGTCCTTGGGCAAGACACGTCACTTTTTACATTCCACCCTGCTGACTAACACTGGCTATACTTGCGCACACACCGAAAATCTGATCACTATCTGATTTGTGGCGTTATCAGATTTTCGAAATGTCATGTCAACAGTTCCATCTCATTTTTGTCTGTCTGTTCACACCAGCGCAGGTTTGGACGAGGACCATTGTGCAACTAAATGGAAAACTAAAGTGGCAAAGACAAAAATGAGACAAAAATGAAACTGTCAAAGATTGAAAGAGTTATAAAATTAGTTGAAGGCCTTTTTTCTCTTCCAAATACAACAGTTACTCTAAAAATCCAGTCTGCAAATAATGACCCAATCAACAAAACCGCTCGGTGAATCCAGTTTGAAGCGTTCTTTAAAAGTAAAAAGGTGGGAGTAGTTCCTCACGTATGTCTGTTTACATCCACACAACGCACGGATCAAAGTGAAGCTGCAGATTAACGACAGTGACTATACTTCCTGTGGACTTTATCGGCAATCTTCTGTGCTTTTAAAATCCCGTATCTGAAGTTTTGCACCACATTTCACAAATAACACAGTTTTGACTTGGATCTAAACTAGAAGTGCAGTGTTCTGATATTTTAAACATTTAAGAGCCTCAGGGTGAGTGATTTTACTCAAGAAGCGCTCACAACTTTGCAGTCAGTGGTCGTAGACAGATCCTGATACAGTCTTTGTGATCGGAGATTTAAAATCGGATTCTCCTCGTGTCTGTTGTGTGCGCTTTTTGTCACATTTAAAAATCGTTTAAGACTAAAAAAATCCTGTACTGCGTGATGGCCTTAACTCACTCTTCTCCTCTTTGCAGCCACGGCGTTCTCATCTCCTCCTCCTCCTGTTGTGATGAAGAAGAAGAAGGAAGCTCCAACTCAGGCCGTGTTCACGATGCCTCCAGAGCTCGATGTGTCTCTCATGCTCGAGTTTGTCGGGTGAGAATCTGTCACTGTCTCTGTGTAGTTGTGTCACTGTTATAAAAAAAAAGACATATATAGCACTGACAAGCTTTGCAATTTATGTTTTAATTATAGCATTTTGTCCAAATTTCTCATTTCAGACATTGACACATTTATAAACAGTACTGACATAATATGAATTGACTTACACTTAGACTTAGACAGATTTTATTGATCCACAAGAGAAATGACTTGGACACAGTAGCTCACACATCACATTTTATTAATTAAATAAATACTTAATTAAGTAGTAAAAAATATTAAAATTGTAATAAACTTTTAAATAAATTGCAATTTAAAAAAAAAAAAAACTTTGAGCTTGGCATGAAATAAGACATAAATTATATAAATGTATGTACAAGTAAGTAAAATGAAATATTAAATGAAATATTATCTGTTACATAAGGGTGAGAAAATGTGAGAAAAATGATCGTGTGAAAATTAATAATCCTTGTGTTTACATTTAAATTGGACAAAAATTGTATAAACTCTGGTGACTTCCACATTTTGAAAAGTTGTAATTCCAAAAGACACTAAGAATGACAGAAAAAATGAAATAATTATTAAATAAAGTAAATAAAAAATGGTGAGGTAATGGTAAAATGTGAATGTGTGAAATGAATGGCACAATTTATTTATTATAAAATATAAGAAAATCAAATTCTTGTTTCATTCTCGTGGACTCTTTGTGATTTGCTACTTGTGTCCAGTCAAATTGTGATTTTGATCTTGGAGCCGTAATGTGTAGTAGGACTAAACCAGGACTAAACCAGGACTAAACCAGGATCTATTACTATTACTTTTACAGTACTATTACTATTACTGTACAATTAAATGTGCGTGGATCATTCATGTGGTCACTAGATGGAGCCGTTGCACATGTTAAATTTGTGTTTGTGTTGCAGAGCTGAAGAGGGAGTGCAGCACTATAAGGTAAGAAACAACATCACTACAGATCATCAGCATTTTTAAAAGACGTGATTGTTTTTATTTGAAAGGAATTTTAAACCTGTTAGGTTTATCTAAACATTATAAACAAGAAGAAAGACAAGAGATTAATTCAGTTTTACTCGCGAGGAGAACGGGCAGAGAGTGGGCATCACAAACCAACAGTCTCCACACGTTCTGATGACTCAAGGCCGTTCTCCTCTTTTTATTTCATTAGGAGGCCCTAGTTACAGAATGATAATTCTCAAGGGGAAGGGGAAACAGCCAAGACATAATAAGAAACTGGTGCAGCTATGCATAGTCCAAACACATAAAACATGATTAACAATCAGGAGGTGCCTTAGGTCAGACACCATCATAACTCTTGCATGTGTGACAGTGGGAGTTGGCTTCATGTGAGGAATCATCTGGAGGTTCACTAGAGCGACAGGACACTGCACACAGTTGTCAAACACACAGAGGTTATTCAACAAGTGACAAGTGATTGGTACATTATAAATCAAAGAATTGTAGTACATAAATGGTTAACTCATAGGCATAGAATATCACACAAGTATTTAGCAAATATGGGATAATAAAATTATTCTGACAAAACCGTAAGATTAATATGACAAAGTTTGTGGAGACGATCCTAAACAAATAATGAAAATTAGAAACATTTGTGAATCTAAAGTTTGGAAATTTGAATCAAACAGAGAATCTCCCATAGAGTGAAATAAGCTAAATATAATATAAATTCTGTAACATGAATTAGATTTATTGTATGGGTTTAGAGTGAGAGAATAAAAGGAATAAAGGAGTTTTTGTGACATGTCTGTAAAAAGTGGTATATAAACAAAAACTTACTTATTGTTTGGCCAACTGAGATAATATTTAAATATATGTAGCTCCATAATAGGGCATATGTGACTAAATTAATCCATATACCATTCGTTCTTTTGAATTTCAGTTAAGAATGAAAAACAATAAAATGGGAAAACAGTTTATTTCATTATTCCGTTTTAGTGTCAAACAAAAAAAACGATTTCAACCTCTATTTCCAATATTTAAATTGGTTTATTTCAATAACACCAATCAAAGAACAGTCTCATACCTATTTTAATTTTGATATTTTATTCTCTTGTATATTTGCCTCTGAAGTTCTGCTGCTGAAGGACTCACCTGAAAAATCGTTGCATTTTTGTGGACAAACATGTCGTCTTCTTTTATAGCGACGCGTTTACTTTCACGTAGAAAGTTATTATTCAACTCCATGATGAGAAACACGAAGCAGTGATAAACTTTGCTCAGTTGACAAAGAATTCACAGGTGATGCGTTGAGCAGCAGAACTTTCAGGGCAAATAAACCAGAGAGAATAAAATATCAGAATTAAAATAGGCACAGAAACTGGTTTTTGATTGGTGTCATTTGAAATAAATTTGAAATTAAATACTGGAAATGGAGGTCAATCTATAAAACGGAATAATTAAATAAACTGTTTTCCCATTTTATTTTTGTTCTTAATTGAAATTCAAAAGAACAAATGGTACACGGACCTAAATCGACTGGTCACTTTGTAGCTTCACCAGTTCATTGTAGAGTTTTATTTTTAGTTTATTATATTGTTATGTGTAATTTAAAGTCGTGTAATCCTCTTGTCGTCCGTGTTCAGCCGTTGGAGCGTCGTTTTGTGCGAGTTTCTGGAGAAGCCACGATCCGACATGTTGAACTGTTCATCAGGAAGAAGATGGAGCTGAGCCCCTCCTGCCAGGTGTGTTAAGTGTTTACTCCTAGTTTTATTTTATTCCTGAGGTCTTGGTTCAGTTTGGGTTTATCCCGGGTTAGTCCTGGACACACATTTGTGGAGTCTTGAGGTCAGACAGTATTTGAAGGACATGGTTTGTGTTCACCTGAGCTTCACCTGTGCAGACGTCTGAGCTCAGGCCAAAACTCGGCGGGCGTCGCTTAAATCAGATTAGTTTAACGTCTCTGTGGGAGTTGGAGCGTTTGAGCGGGTGCCATCTCGTTTTTAGAAACACGTGGACCAGGATTTAGAACTAACACTGAATTCCCGTATTAGGGCTCACAAGGACATTATTACATCACCGGTGTCCTCCTCGAAAGTCTGCTCAGGTTTGAAATAAATTAGGCCGTGGAACATCGACATCTGGATCATGTCGAGTTCTAGTTTAAAATCATCCATGTTCAGAATCTGCCTTTTTAACGGAGAGATCTACAGCCAATCCTCTGTCAGTAAAAGGAGATAAATAGTGTGGTATATTGAACTTTCCAAGCAAAGCAACAACATCACTATGGAGATAAGCAGAAATGTTACACAGTGCACCTTTAAATGGCACTGATTAAAAGTCTTTACAACAAGAAAACTTCACACAAACTTGAGGCCAGGAGGGTAAGAAGGAGGACGATAGCGCGTAACAGCATGTGTCCTGAGCCTCTGCTGCCAGTTTATAAAAACATAATAAAATGTGAAGTAATGATGTAGTTAAATACAATATTTGTATTATAGTCTAGACTGTGTTTTGTTTCAGGTGGATGTTGTTTGTGGAGATCATCTTTTGGACCATTTCCAGTCGCTCAAAGACATTCAGAACTCAGTGGGTGAAGACGCTCTGCAGGTAAAAGTTTATTAAAGTAATAAATGAATAATGAAAATCGTTTGGACATTTGTCCTAAATTCTGTGATCGATGGGCCATGGTCTTGGTCTTGTCTCAGTCTCGGTCTTGTCTCGGTCTTGACCTTTAAATGTCTTGGTCTCATCTCGACCCTCAGAGGTCTTGGTCTTATCTCGACCTCGAATTTAAAAGTCTTGGGTCTCGTCTAGATTTTTAAAAGTCTTGTTTTGTCTCGGTCTTGACCCTCAGGCCTTGGTCTTGTCTCGGTCTTGACCCTCAGGCCTTGGTCTTGTCTCGGTCTTGACCCTCAGGCCTTGGGCTTGTCTCGGTCTTGACCCTCAGGCCTTGGTCTTGTCTCGGTCTTGACCTCAGGCCTTGGTCTTGTCTCGGTCTTGACCCTCAGGCCTTGGTCTTGTCTCGGTCTTGACCCTCAGGCCTTGGTCTTGTCTCGGTCTTGACCCTCAGGCCTTGGTCTTGTCTCGGTCTTGACCCTCAGGCCTTGGTCTTGTCTCGGTCTCGATCTTTAAAAGTCTTGATCTTGTCTCAGTCTCAGGACCCTGTGGTCTTGGACAGGACTTGGTCTTGACTAGTGCGGACTTTGTATTGGTGGGAGTTTAGCGAGAGTCATTTCTGCAGTTTTAGTAAACTGTAGTAGATTTTACCTGAAGATTTGAATTTGATTTGAATTCAGACAGTTCATTGTGTGTGAAATTGTGTTCTTGCTACAGAATGTATCTTATCTTATTATTGTTATAACATGAACCCATTTGAATCTGTGTTTTCCCTTATGTTTCAGGATGGACTCTTGGTGCTTCACTTTGGCCTGGTCCTGCCCTCGTCCTGATGAACTGGAAAAACACAAACTTCTGCTCAAAAACACGATTAAACTCACCTCTAGAACATGGCGTTTCAGGGCGAATATTGTCAGAACACATTTGTTTTTCTAAAGGCAGTCATGTTGAAATGGTTTATTTTTCAGACACATTTTGGTATTTTAGCATTGCCTTAAAAAACAGATCTGATTTTGTTAAAAAAATAAATAAATCTTTATAAAACCCATCAAATTTAAATATCTGCTGGCAGTTTTAAGTCTTAAGTTTGAAGCTGTGACGTTTTCAGGAGAAAGAAAGTACATAATTTACCCACGTGTTAAGAATGGTGAACAAGAATCTGTCTTACACTGTTTTTCCGTTTACAGTTGAAACATAAATGAATAGAGCCATTTTATTTTCACCACTGAGAAAAACTGAACAATTATCATTTAGACACAACGAAATCCACGCACTTAAAAACAAAAATAAATAAATAAATAAAAGTGACTAGTCTTAGTTTAAATAAAGACCTTTTATATGGAAGATAATTTGTTCCACTCGGATTATTTTTATTTAAATACTGCTGAATTTCTGACTTTGAATTTTTTAAATCTGACAAAAGATGTTTGAATTATTTTTATTTTGAAATTTTGTTGCTGAAATTTTAACTGTACTAAAAATTTTGCCTTTTAAATATTAAGCACAAATATTATCAAGCCAAATTCAGCAGTTAAAATTCAGAGTGTGAAATTCGCAGTGAAAAATTTCAACTAATGACCAATCCTGGTTCCCTGCACCATTTCCTGCTTGTTACTAAGTTGGATCATATGAAAAATTATTTGTTTCATCAGATTTTGAATTTTAAATACTGTTGAATTTGTCACTTTGAATTTTTTAACTCTGAAAAAACATGGTAGAATTATTTTTATTCTAAAATTTTGTTGCTGAAATTTTAATTATACATTTTCAAAGTGTGTGAATATCATTATTTAAAAAAAACCTTTTAAATATTCAGCTCAAATATTTTCAAGCACTCAAATTCAACAGTCAAAATTCAGAGTAGAAAATCTGCCGTGGAAAAAATTCACAGCAAAGATCCAAGATGCCAAGGCAGATTTTGGATTTTGTTTTTGGTTTTTTTTGCAAATTTTTTAACTGTTAAATTTGAGGACTTGGATGAGTACTGAATATTGCAAAAGGTGTTTGTTTTTTTTTTTATATTGAATTTTAAACATTTTGAAAAAGTATACTTCAAATTTCACCAACTGCCATTCAGGATTAAAATAATTCTAACATGTTTTTTCAGAGTTAAAAAATTCTGATGGCATTTAAAATTCTAAATCTGATTAAACAAATTGTCTTCTATACTTCTACCTATACTTAAACTATAACTTTTAGTTTTTTTTAGAGTGCCTGGATTTCGTTGTGTCCAAATTTTTGATCATTTGATTTTCTGTACAAATTATAATTCAAAACTTATAGAATTTACTGCTTCCAATATTGCACAATGTATATTTTGGGGCATTTTCTTTTGTGTGTATTTTACTTTAAGAACTGCTCAGTGAAACTCGTGGAGGGTGGTGGACATCTGGAATGTTCCTCAGTGTCGTACTAGACTCATTTATCTCCATGGAGACGAGTATTTGACCCAATTCACTGTAAAAATTCATGTTTTTCAAGGTTTTTGAGGGCTAAAAACATGTATTTATGTAATTGAAAACATGCAGTGTCAGACCCTCCACCCGAAATGTTACATAGTGCAGCTTTAATGTTGGAGATACTCGTTCTGGATACATCTCAGACCTCAGATACTGTGAAATAACTTTATTGTTTTCCATGATACCTTTGATTTGTTGTACATAAATAGCTTATCTAATACTTTTCCATATTTATATTGTTTGTCGTATTTGTTTGTCTTTTGTGTCTTTCAGGGCTTTAAACCAAAGGGCTGTTTTTGTGTGATTTGTTAAAAAAAAAAAAAAAAAAAAGCTGCTAACATTTATACGTTTTGTACTGATGCTCTTGTTTGTAATAAAAACTCAAAATCAAATGTAAGATTTATTTTATTCGTCGTCACACACACAAACGTACAGTTTTCAGACGAGTTTATTCATAAAACAAAAGCAGCACAAACATTCAAAGGTAAAGAGACACGGGAGACTCTATAAATCTCTGGAGGTGAAGGTTTGTCCAGTTTTAGCTCTTAATACGTTTGTCTAAATACAGATTAACTCTTAAACACTGGCCCAGTGACGACGCTGGTGTGTGTGAGACTCCGGTGTGTCTGGGGTTAAGATTTGCTTCACAGTGAATGTGTTTACATGCGCTCGAGTATCCCGGTTCTGATCTGTTTTTTTGAGTCTCCTGATTTTGTGAGTGTCCGTGTAAATGCAGTATCCTGATTTCAGTCTCCTGGATTTGTCAGTGTCCTGGAGAAACAAGGAGACTCACTGGGATTTTTTTGGGAGTATCCAGGATACTGTGACCTCTAAACGCAGGATCTTGATTTCTCAAAACTAGAGCTGTACTGAGCAACTCAAGTAACAAAAACAGTAGGAGCAGTTAAAGCAGTCTACTGTTTAATGAGGGCGGCCGCGGGGTCTTAAAAGTCTTAAAAAGGGTCTTAAATTTCATGTTCCTAAATTAAGGCCTTAAAAAGTCTTAAATGATGTTGTCCAATTCTTATTTTTTTCACAAAGGTCTTAAATTTTATCAGCCTATTATTTTGTAAACTCAACTGGGCTGCAGTGTAATATTAAACAAAGGGAGGTGAAAAAAAAAGTGAAATCACAGAACATGAACAAATGTCTAATTTGGAGGATGCGCAAACAATACTCTGGTTTCTGGCACCAGCGGCAATAATTAAACAATCAGTAAAGTGGAGGAAAACTGATGGATCGTGGAGAAGTGCAGGTTTAATCCACAGTGGCTCTTAGATTCTTGATATAGTCCTGTAGTTGTTTGGTCATTATTACCTCTGCCAAGGAGGTTATGTTTTTGCCGGCGTTTGTCTGTTTGTCTGTTTGTTTGTTTGTTTGTTTGTTTGTCTGTTAGCAACATAACTCAAAAAGTTATGGACCGATTTTGATGAAATTTTCAGGATTTGTTGGAAATGTGAAAAGGAAGAACTGATTTCATTTTGGGGGTGATCCGGAAGAAATCCTGGATTCTGGATCACTTTGAAATTTTAGTTAACATTGTGGTAAATGGGGCCAAAAATTTTGTTTCTCAATATCTCGATTAATTATTGACCAAACCCCATGAAATTTGACTCAGGGATGGACAATGGGATCCTCTTTCATATTCCAAAGGCTGATCCGGATCTGATCCAGAAGAAAAATTTTATCGCAATTTATATAAAAAATGGGGGTAGTCCTTGGCGGAGGTCTGCGCTCTCTGACTGCTTTTCTAGTTTAAATTGGATCTGGTGTTTTTTGCCTGCATAATGGGTGTGATGTTAGTCTTAGTTTTCATTTATGTGGTCTTAAAAAGGTCTTTAAACAGTCTTAAATTTGGGGTAGTCAAACCTGGGGATACCCTGTTAATACAGTAAAAGAGAAATACAACTTGTTAACTGGACAAACGTTTATTTAGGTCAAAAACGTTTCGCAGTTCGTCCAAGCTGCTTCTTCAGGTCTGGTCTCAGTTTGGATGAGCTGCGAAACATTTTCAACCTAAATAAACATTTGCCCATTTGACAAATTGAATTTCTCCTTTGCCATGGATTCTACCTGGACGACACATCTTTACTTTACAGCCACATTTTAACTCCAGGCTCATCTGTCTGGTGGTTTGTGTCGCTCTTGAAATAACCTGACGCTTTTAGACTTGTCGTATTTTTCGTCTGTTAAACACGACTTTTCCTGAAGCTGTGACAGAGCTCCACAGTCTCATGTTCTGACTTGAACGTACGCCTACTTTTTTGTTTTTACAAACCTGTTAAAAAGCCTTAAGTTGGCAAACTTGCTCCATGTTTCACTGTTTGCCATATCTGTGCCCTAGTTACCATAGCAACCAGTCTAAATATCCAGGATCCTCTGATGGAGCATGAACACCACATCCAGAATACTGTCAGAACTGGGATAAAACTCATAACCAGGATGAGACTGGAGCCCATGTAAACACACTCACGGTCACAGATAAAACTGCTCTAGGATTTTACTACAGGACAAAAACAAACAAACTCACAGTGTTTCACAAATGAAACAATAAAACAACTTAAATCTAAAGTGCATCACATAAATGAGACTCAACAGAAGTCGCACTCTGTAACTTTTCTGACGGACCTGCTTGTCTCCATGGAGAAGCTGGGAACGTTTCAAGTGCAAAATAGACAGAGGTGGGTAGTACTCGAGTTACTTTTACTGTGTTTTTCAGACTGTAAGTGTCACTTTTTTCATGGTTCGTGTGTTTCCTGTGACTTCTATATTAAAATGTTTCAGTGAAGTGTGGAGAGGTTCTAGTCTTGTGTGTGAGGATCTGCTGCTCCTGTTCCTCCTGCACCACTGTCACTTGGCTCTACTGCGCATGTCTCCTGCAGAAAGAGCCTCTGTCCTGCAAGTTGTGAAATATTCAGCCGAAAACGGTATTCGAGCAGCAGAAAGAAAGTTTGAAAGACCTGTGAAAGACTTGTGAGAGACCAGAGAAAAGCAGAGGAACCTTGAACTGCAAAAAAAGCTTATCACGGGTTAAAGCTTGATTTAACTCGAGTTGGTGGAGTTGTTCAGAAGCGACACCGAGGATGAAGAACTGAATGGATTTAGTGATTTGGAGTGAGATGGAGAGTTTGGTAAACTTGTTCTGTTCTGTTGCTTATGTTATAGTTTATCTGAAAAACTGTGAAATATGTGACGTTAACAGTCTGTTGTTCTCTCTTCTATTGTTTTTACTACAACTTGACTTTACACAGGAAATATCTGCTCTCTGATTTTATACAATACATTTCCCCCCAAAAATGCAACTTATTTTTTCTTCCTCATTAGGCATTTTTTGGCTGGTGCAACTTATACTCCAGAGCGACTTGTAGTCCGTAAAATACAGTACTTAGTTACATTTACTTTTTTAACAGCGTACTTTTAGAGATATGAGACACAATATTTTTATTTAATTAAAATTAAGATTTTATGGATTATTTAATATATTCACCTTCCAATTACATTCATTTGAAACTATCCATTCATCCATTTTCTTCCATTTATCCAGGGTCAGGTCTTGGGGGCATCAGTCTAAGCAGGGACTCCCAGACTTCCTTCACCCCAGACACTTCCTCCAGCTCCTCCTGGAGGACCCCAAGGTGTTCCCAGGCCAGCTCAGAGACAAAGTCCCTCCAGCGTGTCCTGGGTCTTCCCTGGGGTCTCTTCCTGGTGGAACATGAACAACTCCCAAGGGAGGCGCCCAGGAGACATCAGAACAGAAGCCCTCCCCGCAGCTGATGGAGCAGTGGCTCTACTCCGAGCTCCTCCCGTGTGACTGAGCTCCTCACTCTATCTCTAAGGGAGACGCCCAGCCGCCCTGCGGAGGAAACTCATTTCAGCCGCTTGTATCCACGATCTCGTCCTTTCGGTCACTACCCAGAGCTCATGACCACAGGTGAGGAATAACGATAAATCAAGAGCTTTTCCTTTCGGCTCAGCTCCTCTTCACCTCAACGGTCCGATACAGCGACCGCATCACTGCTGACGCTGCACCTGTCCACCTGTCAATCTCACACATGAAACTACAAATCAAATATTACGTCCCGACTGTTACTCTTAATTGAGTAGTAGTTTTCGGAACACTTTTTTAAATCTTACTTGAGTCATTTCTTGGACCACTACTCTGTACTTCTACTTGAGTAATATTATTTTGAAGTAATGTTACAATTTCGGCTACCCACCTCTGAAAATAGATGTTATACTGTTGAATTTTCCAGGAAAACCTAAATCATTATCAGCTAATTACTGTCCAAGAGTCCATTTATCATCGTCTTGTTTGCTCTTTACCCCTCTCCTCCCTCCTGTCTCTGCTCCTGCCTCTGCTCCTGTCTCTGCTCCTGTCTCTGCTCCTGTCTCTGCTCCTGCCTCTGCTCCTGCCTCTGCTCCTGCCTCTGCTCCTGTCTCTGCTCCTGTCTCTGCTCCTGCCTCTGCTCCCGTCGCTCGTCTCCGTTGTCAGTCGTTCAGTTGGGCAGCGAGCTCCTCTTCTTTCTCCTCCGTGCTGCCCTCCTTCTCGTCGCTCTCTTTGCCCCGTCTGGACTCTCGGTGCTGGGACGCGCCTCCGGAGGATCGGGGCTGGGGGCTGAACGATCCGAATGAAAGTCCGGAGTTAAAGTGAGTCTCCTCTCCCTCCAGCAGCTTCCTTAAAGACACACACATGTTCACAGGCTGGGACCCACACAAGCAGAACCGTACAAACGTCACATGGAACTAAACACTAAACCCACTTTTTTGCAAATAAACTGTGTATCTGGTGTTTTAAAAGTGTTATTTACTGGTTCTAGTCATTTTTTTTGGCAACTTTAATGCAAACTTGGTCAATTTGCAGTTTTCTAAATCTAAATTTGTGCTGTCTCCAGTGGCCTCTGCAGTTTCAAGTAGTTGGTGACATCACAAATGACTGCCCTGATCACAGACGAGTGTTTCTGATATAAAAAAAAAACAAAAACAACAATTTTCTTCATTATTTGTCTCCAAAACCAAAATTTTTTCAGTTTTCAGTTATTTTGGCTATATTAATCTTGCAATGCTGGACTGAACCAGGACCGAACCAGGACTAAAACAGGACTAAACCATTTTCAATCCTGGTCTCAGTCCCAGTCTTGGTCCTGGTCTCAGTTCTGGTCTGGTCCCGGTCTAAGTCCTTATCTCAGTCCCGGTCTGGTTCCGGTCTGGTCCCGGACCTGTTTTAGTCCTGGTTCAGTCCATATGCGGCGCAAAAGTCCGGCATCGTAGTTTAAGTCACGTAAACAGGAAACATCCATTATCTGATTTTTCCATTTTTCATTTAAACACAAAATCAAAAACTGAAAAAACAAATCATTATCTGTTTTTTCATTTTGGTTTTGGAGACAAATAATGAAGAAAATAGTTGTTTTTTCCTTTTATTATTTTTGGTTTTATCTTTGTCATTTTATTAGTATTTTACAGTTATTTTGGCACATTTATATCAATATTTCCATAAATCTATTTATCTGATTAATGTTAATTTTAAAATAAGCCAAGTAAACTGTTCTGCTCTGAAACACTCTGTGCCCCTTTTTGGAGCCTCACCCACAGTTTGAGAACCTCTTCTTTAATAGAACTTCCACTGGCACTTTACACAAAAGAAAACAAAAGTGAAGAAAGTGGGTATGATTTTTAAACCTGTTTGTTTCAAGTTCCTAATTTTAGTTAGACCTTGAATCTGTGACAAGACCGAGTCCAAGCGCCTTCAAGACCAAGACGAGACCGAGTCCAAACGCCTTCAAGACCGAGACAAGACCGAGTCCAAGCGCCTTCAAGACCGAGACAAGACCGAGTCCAGACGCCTTCAAGACCGAGACAAGACCGAGTCCAGACGCCTTCAAGACCGAGACAAGACCGAGTCCAAGCGCCTTCAAGACCGAGACAAGACCGAGTCCAGACGCCTTCAAGACTGAGACAAGACCGAGTCCAAACGCCTTCAAGACTGAGACAAGACCGAGTCCAAGCACCAACAAAATCGAGACAAGACCGAGTCCAAGTCCTTCAAGACCGAGTCCAAGCGCCTTCAAGACCGAGACAAGACCGAGTCCAACGCCTTCAAGACTGAAACAAGACCGAGTCCAAGCGCCTTCAAGACCGAGACAAGACCGAGTCCAACGCCTTCAAAGACCGAGACAAGACCGAGACAAGACCGAGTCCAGACGCCTTCAAGACCGAGACAAGACCGAGTCCAAGCGCCTTCAAGACCGAGACAAGACCGAGACAAGACCGAGTCCAAACGCCTTCAAGACCGAGACAAGACCGAGTCAAGCGCCTTCAAGACCGAGACAAGACGAGTCCAAGCGCCTTCAAGACCGAGACAAGACCGAGTCCAAGCGCCTTCAAGACCGAGACAAGACCGAGTCCAAGCGCCTTCAAGACCGAGACAAGACCGAGTCCAAGCGCCTTCAAGACCGAGACAAGACCGAGTCCAAACGCCTTCAAGACTGAAACAAGACCGAGTCCAAGCGCCTTCAAGACCGAGACAAGACCGAGTCCAACGCCTTCAAGACCGAGACAAGACTGAGACAAGACCGAGTCCAGACGCCTTCAAGACTGAACAAGACCGAGTCCAAGCGCCTTCAAGACGAGACAAGACCGAGACAAGACCGAGTCCAAACGCCTTCAAGACTGAGACAAGACCGAGTCCAAGCGCCTTCAAGACCGAGACAAGACCGAGTCCAAGTGCCTTCAAGACCGAGACAAGACCGAGTCCAGACGCCTTCAAGACCGAGACAAGACCGAGTCCAGACGCCTTCAAAACTGAGACAAGACCGAGTCCAAGCGCCTTCAAGACTGAAACAAGACCGAGTCCAAGCGCCTTCAAGACCGAGACAAGACCGAGTCCAAGCGCCTTCAAGACCGAGACAAGACCGAGTCCAAACGCCTTCAAGACTGAACAAGACCGAGTCCAAGCGCCTTCAAGACCGAGACAAGACCGAGTCCAGACGCCTTCAAAACTGAGACAAGACCGAGTCCAAGCGCCCTCAAGACCGAGACAAGACCGAGACAAGACGAGTCCAAACGCCTTCAAGACCGAGACAAGACCGAGTCCAAAAAACCGACAAGACCGAGTCCAAGCCTTCAAACTGAGACAAGACCGAGTCCAGACGCCTTCAAGACCGAGACAAGACCGAGTCCAGACGCCTTCAAAACTGAGACAAGACCGAGTCCAAGCGCCCTCAAGACCGAGACAAGACCAAGACCATAAAAAAACAGTCTCCAGACCAAGACCGTCATCTGCATGTTTCCAAACGTCGAGCGTGATTAGACTCTATCTTTTCTACGTGATGTGTCTGTGATGAAGTGTTGTTGTTCTCAGTCTGACCTGTAGGCGGCGATCTCGATGTCCAGGGCCATCTTGACGTTGAGCAGGTCCTGATATTCTCTCAGGTGCTGCGCCATTTCTCCTTTCAGGTTCCTGAGCTCTGCGTCCAGGTGAGCGATGGTCTCCTGAGACACACAAGAGCAAACACACACGTGACCCAGAGAACAGAAAAATCACATTACAATACACCACTTCAACACTGTCAGAGTTAGATGACTAATTACTTTTTATTTATTTAAAACCAGGACAGTGCACAGAAAACATTCATCTCCGAGAGAAAAGATGCTCTGTGCCAGATTTAGCTACAAACTCTTTTCCATCTGCAGTCGATTATTCAATTTTTCTTTAAGGCAAGTGTACGAATTGTAGAGCAGAATTCGTACACAAAACAAACAAATCAAAACAGAAATAATCATCATAAAATAAAATAAAAAAAAGGAGAGAGACATTGTGGAAGTGTGAAATTAAAAACCTTCAGTCATACACTGCTGAACAGAACCATTTTGAGCCTGGATTTAAACAGAGTCAACACATATTT